CATTGACACGGGAGCTAACCGTGCCAGCGACAAAACCACACATAGGTGGCGGAATTCCTGCGCATAATAATAAATAAAAAGGAATGTACAGCGTCCTGTACTCCATTAGAAGTTATGATTAAATATAAAACCCCATTACTCCCCCATATGTTCATACTCAAGGTATATACGTTCCAAGAGTTTTGGTGAGTAATCTCTTTCACTTTACATTATTTACATATTATTGGACTTGGTGATGACTCTCAAAGCATAATAATTCAATCAACAATAATTATTCAATCAACAAACATACTAATTTAATTCTTGAATATTTAGTGACCACATAATATTTAGTGTTGAACCCTTTTTAATTCTACCTCAGTGTCAAAGACACCTTAAACGCATAAAGCGCCAAAAATCCTATCCCTCGGTGTTAAAAACACATTAAGTGCACTAAGGCACCAAAATATTATTTATTCCTCGTGTACATAGACACTTATATAGCTCCTTTCTCATGCTTATAGCATCAATAAAATTTATATGAACTATAATAAAATTCCTTTTCAATATTCCAAGCCAAATTAAACATGTAGTTTAATTAAACATCCATTCTAACATGCCATAAATAAAAGTGTAGTCCATTGTAGACACCCAAATGTGTCTCCCCAAAACCAAACCCAGTGATGAGTACCTTTCATGTCATTTTATTTTTGAACAAAGAGAAAGTGTGAAAAGTCTAGTGATGAGGATGTTTTTATTAAAATATCTCTTCTTTCTGTTTTTGAAAATATTTCTTTTGTTACCTTATTTTTGAAAAACGTGCATTCTAGTTTAGTTTGGTCCATGATAAGGGTCCAATAATGGTGTATTTGGATGAGGTTTGAAAAGACCTTTTCAACGATATATTATAAGCCCAATTCCGATGAATAATGAGGAAGTTATGGCCAAAATACTAAAATGGGCCCTATTTGGTTTTTATATGCGGCCCAATGATCTAGAGGAGGGCCTCTTATTAATTATTATTCCTAAAGCTATTAGGATTGATTATAATCTTCTACAATATTCTAGAAGGTTCTTTTAAATCTTAATGGAGTTAGGATTGATAATTATGTTTTAAAGAGTTTGAAATTGAATAAAACTACTCCTTTTGAGAATCCTTGTTTTATACGAAATGAAATATATTCAGATTTTATTTTCGTGACTCATAATATTTATCCAAATTTTATATGGTTGGATAGATCTTGAAATTATCTTTCCAATGATATATTATAATATTAAATCCGAGCTATAACGAAAAAGATATGAATGAGATATGAAACACTATCCAAAACTGACACCGTCCTACTATTTCGGCCATATCTTTTTATATACAAAATATTTTAATATTATTCAAATTAGTTTGGAAAATAGACTTTAATAGATTTCTAACGATATATTATATGCCTTATTTGGACTTCCGGATCAAAAGATAAGATAAAAACAAAAACGCGTGAAACTGATTATTAGCGTCGACGCTAAGCATCAGCGCCTGACGCTAAGGATTGGCGCCTGCGCTAACCTTCAGCGCCTGGCGCTAGTTGCCAGCGTCGACGCTAATCAAGTTTTATGCGCGTCAGAACTCTGTTTTGATTTTCTATCTTTTTGGCTGATTTTCTCTATAAATAGCTTTCTAAAAACTCCGTTTTCATTCACCAATTCTCACCAACTCTCATCAAGATTTTCTTGATTATTCTCTCTTTCTCTCTCTTTTCTAAACTAGCCTTTTCTCAAATACAAAATTCCGCATTTGTAATACTTAGATACACCTAGCCATATTCGAAGTTTCCTTCGCCCTAGACGTGAAAGGTTTAATTTCTGAGGGTTTGGTCTCAAATCTCTCTTTCCATTATTTAATTTAATTGTTTTGTTTATTATTTTCCTTGAAGTTACTAATGTGTGTATTTTGTTATTAGAAAGAGGTACGAGGCATTCAAGTAAGTACTTTAATGGTTTAATTGATATTATGATATAGAAATCATGCTTAGATTGTTATTTTGATTCCTAGTATCATGTTAGGATGTTTTCCTTAATTTGATGTTTAGGGTGACAACAATAAATTACTAGTATCATGTGTAGGGTAACTTTACTATTAAGTATGATTTAAAGTATGATGCTTCCTATGTTCTTCCTAATATTTATGATTGTTAGTATCATGTTAAGGCTAAAGCTTTAGTCTTTATTGTTTAGTGACATGCTAGGCTTTGTTATTAATCTTGTTAATATCATGCCTAGGATCTTGCTATTAATATTATGCTTTAACATGATTATTTTAATCATGATTATTTTTATTATTATTATTATGATGATTATTATTATGATGATTATTATTTTGATTATTATTTTGTTGCTTGATTATTATTGTTATTGCTTGATCACGCCTTTTATGCATGTTTAAAGGGAATTGGTACTTGTAATCACGCTTAATAAGATAATTAATAATCTTGTTTAGGGTTAATATGATTATAATTCAAGTGATCGCCAATAATAGATTTATTTGTGCATTAATATTCAACCAACATAGATAAACAGGTTTAGGGTTAAACCTATTGTTTGTATGTTAGTCAGAAAGCGCACATGAATACGATCTGAATAAAGTAGAGGCCTATTATTAGGGCAGGTTCAATCTCTTTTAGGTTGGATTTGTACCTTCATCCCCGAACCCTATTTGGTTCCAGACCTATTGGAGTTAACGATCTCTTGGATCATTAAGGGGTGTAACCTTCACCTCGTGAACGGTTTACAAGTTCCTAAAACTTGTTGGCGACTCTTTTGCTCTATCTTCCTTCCCTTTGGACGCCACCGTACTTTAGTGTATGATCACAGTGGGGTTCAAGCTAGAGGATTAACGCTTAAAATATTCCCTACATCCATATAATCATGCCAAAAATATAATTTTCCAATCCATAAACCATCACAAATAATTCATGCTTCACAATTCAATCACCAACACCAATAATTCACAATTCCATACATAAACCTTAGCATGATATTACTTGTAATTGATTGAAGTCAAGCCTAGCATGATACTATATCACCAAAATATGCTAAGTACACGAACGTACCTTGAGTACGATCTTAAAATCGCCACGACTAATAAAAATTGCTTACTTCAAAGTCTCCTACTCATTAAAGTCATAATAAAGTATTAAAATCCACTCTAAACAATTTTCCAGCAATATATACTATTATAGAACCCCTCATAATTTAATTAAAATAAGCTGAAATTATATTTAAAACACCATACTTAAGTCTCAATTAATGGGTAATTGAAATTTCTTCAAGAATCATGATATTAAGTGCTCTACATAAAATTCCAGCACTTTATTTTAATTAAAACTTGCTGTAAATTAGTCTTAAAACACTTTAATCAAAGATCTAAACCATAATACATCACACTCTTTCAATAATTCATAAATCAAGAACCTAGGGTTTCAAAAATTGGGGCTTTTTAATTATTAACAAAATCTGAAAATTAATCAACATAATTATAATAATCAAACATCAAAATTAAATCTCAAAACTCATAATTTACAATTAGATTAAAGCATAGATTAAATTAGAGCAAGAAATATTAGATTTTTAAGTTTTTTTTTTCGATATCAAGGACTGCCGACAGCAGGCCGGCGCCACTGCCCTGCTGCCAGCACTGGTGGTCGCCGCTGCTGCCGGCTGGGTGGCTGGTGTTCGGCGGCCCACTGGTGGTGGTGGTTGCCAGTGGTGGTGGTCCGAAAACAAAAGGGAAAGGGGAAGGAGAAAGAAAAAGAGAGAAGAAAAATAAGGAGAAAAGGGAGAGAAATTTACCTTGGGTTTTCTCCACTCTGGGCAAAGTTGATTTGCCTCATAAGAGGGATATTCATACCCCTTGTCTACCACCCCTTTTACCTTAAACTTTCCTCTTTTAGTTTTTCCTAATCCCTTCCCTAATAAAACTTGTTAAAATCATACTTTCCTAAAATAAAACCCCAACTTTTATAAAATAAATAATTAAACAAATTTTCCTTTATTAAAAATATTTCCAAACTCACATAGGATAAATAATTAAAATACCATAATTAAAATATTAAAATTATTTAAATACCTTTATAAAATGCATATTTTAAATAAATTACGTATAAAAATACGGGGTATTACAGTCGGAGACCAATGGAGGTCGACAAAGGTCACTGGAGGCCTTTAGACATTACTATAGTTGTCGAGTGTAGATGCGACGCGACTAAGATGTGTCATTGACGCTAATTGTTGCTTAGACATGGACATTAGTCTCCTTGGCATTCTCATCTAATTTAACCTTGAACAACATGGCTTGTCTAACACGCGACTGTCTTGGTAATAACACAACCCTTTGGACTTCACTTTGTGTCGTGGGAATTACGCCCATAACACTACCTTCTCCAACAAAGCTTTAAGTGTTCAACAATGGATGATTTTGGGGTTTTTGGAGTGATAAAGTATAAATTTGTGTAAATAGGTTGATGATGTGATGAATTTGTGTAAGATTTGAAGAGAAACTGATGGATTTGTGTTTGGATTTGAAAGATTTTGAGAGTCTGGTTTGAGTAATTGAGAAGAAATAAAGAGTGAAATCGGTTGGTAAGAAGATTGCGAAAGAAATCGGGAGGGAAAAAAAGTGAAGATGAAAAGAGGAAGAGAATGAAAGTTCAAAATGCTTGGCGAGTTGGTTAAAGCTTGTGGCAATCTTGTTTAAAAGTTGGTAATGTTTGATTTTTGAATAGAGGCTTTTTGCTTCACAATTAGGCTTATCACAAATTTCTAAATTTTTCCATTCTTTACCCCTTAGCGAACATTACTACTCCCTCCGTGTTTTTTAAGTGTTACATTTTGGCCGACACATGGTTTAATTGACTTAAATAATATAAGAGGTAAGTGGGGGTAGTCACTACCACAAAAACTAGAATAAGAAACACAAGATACAGAACGGTTTACTTAGATATGCAATCTCTAGAATTATATAGAACACCTATCTAATTTAACCGTTCTATTTGATTTATTTTATTATTTTTATTAAATTGTGGTTTTATTATATAGAACGCATTTCTTATTAACCGTTCTATTTGATATGTCCATATTTTACACTTGCAATATAAATCGCCCCACTTAATTACCCGTTCTATATGTTTAATATTATTTTTTGAAAAATAAAAAAGAAATAAAAAAATCTAACATATGTTACATATCAAAAGCCCAAAATTCTAACCCTAACTCCACAGCCGTCATTCACTCATTCTCCATAACTTCCCCTCTTTATTCCCCTTCTCTCATTTCTTCCCTTTTGTGAAATCCTTACTTCTTTCCCTGCACCTTCATCCTTCAATGTTCTTAAAACTCCGAGATGATGTCCAATTAATCTGCTATCCGTCGTCTTCTTCCTCCAGTTTAAGTAAGTCCTCGAAACACAACCTATCAGCATCAATAATCATATACTAGCTACGACTAAAGATTACAATTCACTCCTTCAAAAATATTAGCCAACTGATAAAATTTGGAGTGGTGGAATTCATCTTACTCCTCTTAGAATACGAATGAAATCAAATAAAGCTCCCGCTGAATCTTTGTTTTTCTCTGTTTATGGTAACAAGTTGTTGCGGGTTGATTGGTGTTTAACATTATAGAGGTAGCTTGTTTGATTCTTAATTATAAATTTTAGATCTACAATTGTTATCAATTGATTTTAATGTTACGATTTGGATTAAATTTTGATTTTTCATCTTTGATTTATGGGTGTTTGGTGCGACTTCACTATTTGCGTGCAGTATTGATGGAGGCGCTGCGGTAGTGCGGTGGTTGAGCGAGGTTGGTAGAGGCACTGCGGTGGTTGAAGCTGGTGGAAGCGCTACGGTGGTTGAAGCTGGTGGAAGCGCTACGGTGGTTGAAGCGGGTGGAAGCGCTACTGGTCGTTCGGGTTGGTGGGAACGCCGCTGGTGGTTCAGGTTGGTGGAAGCGTCGCGGTTGAATTAGATTACTGAGGTGGTTTTGAATGTCAATAACAATTCAAGTAGGTGCTCTTCTGAAATTGGTAGCAGTAGCACATTGATAATTATTAAGTTAGGTTAGAGAATTGTATCAAAATTCACAATGTATTTGAGATGTAATTAATTGATTATAAAGGACGATAAATTTTGTTTTAATTTGGCATCTAACTCTGACTTTTACAATTTCTATTCAATTTTATTTATTGATTGATGATTGTACGTATACAGGATCATTTTTCTTACAGGATAAATGTACAAGATTCAATACAGGAATACATACAACAAATACAGGTCTAAAATGAAATACAAAAAAATACAGATTATCAAAATACAAGATAATACAAATAAAATACGTACAGGGATAATTCGAATAATCAAATACATATGGTTGGATTTTTTTTTTTTTAAAAAAAAAAACATTAAAGAACTGTTATCTAACTTAACCGTTCTTTATTGTAATGCAATATAGAACGGTTAAGTAACCTAAACCGTTAGATCTTTTCCTTCCTTAATGTACGAATTTAAGAAGGGAAAAGAGAACGGTTGTGACTAACAACCGTTCTCTATTTGTCAATATATAAAACGCCTAAACGACCCGTTCTATATACTTTATACATCGCTTAGCAGAACAACGCCCCTAAGGCGATCTATAAAGCCTATTCTAACAGTTCTGTAAGGCCTTTTTTGTAGTAGTGAGTTGGTGTATTAAAAAATTGTAAAAGAAAGATAGTGGGGTTAATAGTTCATTGAAAAGTAATGAATGTGGGATGAAAGATATAATAAAACAAGTAATAGTGGGTTTGGATGGGGACCATGAAAGGAGAGATATAATATTTTAATGTAGCTTTTTGTCAAAAAAGGAAGTGTAACACTTATTAAAACACGGAGGGAGTACCCTCTTAATGTTCTTTTGACCTTGGTTAGTTGAGTCACTAGTCGGTGGAGAAAGCTAGATTTCAAGCATATGGAGAGAGAATGACTGGGAAAGATGTAGGGTTCCCCTTATTTTTATTGTCTTATCTTTATTCCGACTCCTTCGAGGACTCATGAGATGCTACCTCTAAGGGTGGATTTGAATATAGATGAGGGACTACGCTAAGATTGTATGGAATGCGAGGGGAGTGGTGAATGTTAGAGTTCTCTACGCTTATAATGGTTTATCCTTCAATCACTAGTAGAAATTTACAAATGGGCACCGAGTAATACCCACCGGTTTTGGGTTCAAGCTAATTGACACCGGTTCCAAAAAAAAAAACCGGTGCCATATTCATTAAAGGCCACTGGTTCAAACCGGTGGCAATTCAAAAAAAAAAAAAAAAACCGCCATAAGCTAGCTTCTCCTCCTTTTCCTTCTCTTTCTTCGTTCCCCAATTCATTTCTATCTTATTCAATTTCTTTCCCTCCTTCGAAAACGCTAGAAACCCTTTTATTCCACCACTGTCGTCGACCCTCTTTCACCGGCGGCCACCCTCTTTCTCTTTCTCTATCTCTTTCACTTCATTTGGTGTTGAAAACACCATCCAGCAGGCCCCTCCACCATTGCGCGCGAGTTCAGCAGCCTCCACCACTCCTCCACCTGCACAGTCGCGCTCGAGTACAGCCGCCTCCACCACTGCGACACCTCTCCAACAACCCTCCGCGTCCTTTACCCTCTAGCTCTCTACCCCTTCCACCTCTAATTATGGTTATATTTTAATTTCATTTTGAACAATTATTGGACATATATGAGTAAACTAAGGGCTTGAATATAATTTAACCTCAATTTTGATTTTTGGTAGTTAAATTTTTTGTATTATATATTTTTTTGTATATTATGTTTCTATTTGTGAATTTTAGGTGGTTTTAATGGGAAATTTGTTTTTAAAAAATAGAGATTAGTAAGCTTGTTAGTTAGTTCAATTTTGGTACTTAAAATATATTGTGGTTGAATTAGTGATTAGCAAATGTGTTATAAATTAGTGAATAAATATACTTAAGCAATGTATGTGATTTCAAGCCTTAGTCACCTAAAACTAGGTAACATTGATATGCTATGAGAAAGAACTAGTTCATTTGATAAGAAATGTAGAAATTCGGCAAAGTAGAAGTCATATAGGCCTTATTTGGGCCATTTAGGATGAAAAGTACACCAAACTTAATAAAATGCTCTTTTGATGTGATTTCAGGCGTTAGGCACCTGAGACTAGGTAATATTGACATGTTATGAGAAAGAATTAGATCATTTGATAAGAAATGTAGAAAATGGGCAAAGTAGAAGTCATATAGGCCTTATTGGGCCAATTAGGATGAAAAATACTCCAAAGTTAATAAAATACACTTTTGATGTGTTTTCAAGCCTTAGAAACCTAATACTACGTAATATTGACATGTTATGAGAAAGAAATAGTTCATTTGATAAGAAATGTAGAAAATGGGCAAAGTAGAAGTCATATAGGCCATATTTGGGCCATTTTTTTTTTATAAAATCCGTCTTAAAACTTAGTGAAATGCTCTTTAGATGTCATTTTAAGCCTTAGACACCTAAGAACGGGTAATATTGACATTTTATGAGAAACAAATAGTTTATTTGATAAGAAATGTAGAAAATGGGCAAAGTAGAATTCAAATAGGCCATATTTGGATCATTTTTGATAAAATGCGTTCTTTTGATGTGATTTTAAGCCTTAGACACCTAAAAACTAGGTAACATTGACATATTATGAGAATATATATATATGAGAATATATATAGGCCATATTTGGATCATTTTTGATAAAATGCGTTCTTTTGATGTGATTTTAAGCCTTAGACACCTAAAAACTAGGTAACATTGACATATTATGAGAATATATATATATATATATATATATATATATATATACATATACATATACATATACATATACATATACATATACATATACATATACATATACATATATACATATACATACATATATATATATATATATATATATATATATATATATATACATACATATATATATATATATATATATATATATATATATACATATATATATACATATATATATATATACTACTAAGAAATTTTTTCATTCATTATTCATGCTTGTTGTCTTTAAAAGCTCAATTTGATTATGATTTGTGTTGTGATCGTTGCTTCTCTCTTCCTCTTTCCTTGTCTTTGATTTGTGGAATTTCCCCATACTTGAAGCTTTGCTTGTTTATGCCCTCTTCTATGTCTTTACCTTCTTTCCTTTATTGTCTTTTCTTTATTAGTTTTCTCCCTTTTTTTTCCCTTTTTTTTTAAACTTTGTTTCTTTTTGTTCTTGTTTTGTAGGAAATCCTTGGTTATGAAGCAAGGAGAGAAGCTTGGAAGCCCAATTCATGAATTTCTACGCGACCACAAGAGGGCGCACAGTCACTGTGCGCGCGGGCACATACAGAAGTCAAAATTGAAGCTCAATGCTGGAACTTTGGCGGGATATGCGACCCGGAAAAGTGGTAAATTCCTGAGCACTTAGATCAATCACCTCTTTTCTTTTGTGTAAATAAACTATTATAAATGAAGTAGTTTTGTTTTATCACTTTCATTAAACCCTAATTAATTTCACATAGTATCTTGCATTAATTAAAGAATAGAGTTGAAATAATCAAATTGTTGTTTTATCACCTAAATAAGACAAAGCGAATATTGTTTATTTTTTATTTATTATTTATATCACAAATTTGGAATAAAAAAAAATATATTGACATTCGTTGAAATGTTGACTTTTATTTTGTGATTTTTTCTTGTAAATAATATCAACTAACTTAGTTTTTAGGTATCATGTTACATATAATTTGGTGATGAAATTGTGCAAAAGAAAGATCTAGTAGAGGCTATATGAAGGATAGGTCTGTATGATAGATCAACTACTAGATCAATGTGGGACTGGGTAAACTTATGATTACTATTGAAGATCCCATGAAATTTAAATTATTTGGGAAAAAGACATGAACGAGGTTTATGAGTTTTCTTAAAACTCATTGTCAACTCTTTATTAGTTTATTAAAAAAAATGATTCCTTGAATTCAAATCCCTCGTTCAAATCCTACTACACCTTAACAAGTGTAAATTCCCAGGCTTTTACAAGGCATATGGCATAGAGGAAACGAGATCCCTAACGATGGGCTACGCTCTTTACAGTATACAATTCATATCTCAGCTCACCCCTTTGTTTTTACCCAATATTTAGTTTTTCTATTTAAAATTAGAAGGTTAGACACCGAGAAAATAATAACAGAACATAATTGAGTGTAATAGAAAGCGCCTTTAAGTAGCCTCCAATTTATATGTCATCCCCCTTATGCTAACAAAATGTACCAATAATGGTGTATGATGCAGTATTGTTCCAAATAAATGAAATAAAGATATCCACCTTATTTAGATGATTTGAGATGTGAATCATACCTATTTGCCTTATTAATAAGGTTTGAGAATCATAAAACCTTATCCAAAGGATTTGATGAAATTGTTTGGATGAATATAATTGAGTTTATAGAAAGAGCCTTTAAGTATCCTCTAATTGAGTAGGTTAGTCCCCTTAGGATAACAAATGTACCAATATGGTGTATGATGATGCATTATTGTTTCTCATAAATGGAATAAAGATTTATCCACCTTATTTAGAGGACATGAAATGTGAATCATAAATCCTATATATTTACCATATTTAGAAGGTTTAAGAATCATACAAACTTATCCAAAGGATTTGATTAAGTTGTTTAGATGAATATAATTTAGTGTAATAAAAGAGCCTTTAAGTAGCCTCTAATATAATTGAGTAGGTTAGTCCCCCTAGGATAATGTGCTAATAATGGTGTATGATGCATTACTGTTCCACATAAATGGAATAAATATGCATTTAACTTATTTAGAGGACTTGAGATATGAATCATAAAATATATTTACTATATTTAGAAGGTTTAAGAATCATACGACCTTATCCAAAGAATTTGATTAATATAATTGAGTGTAATAGAAAGAGCCTTTATGTAGCCTCTAATTGAGTAGGTTAGTCTCCTTAGGATAACAAATGTGTCAATAATGGTGCATGATGCATTATTGTTCCATATAAATGGAATAAAGACATATCCACCTTATTTAGAGGACTTGAGATATGAATCATAAATCCTATTTACCATATTTAGAAGTTTTAAGAATCATACAAACTTATCCAAAGGATTTGATTAAGTTTTTTGGATGAATATATTAAGTGTATTAGAAAGAGCCTTTAAGTAGCCTCTAATTGAGTAGATTAGTCCCCTTTGGTTAACAAATGTGCCAATAATGGTGTATGATTCATTATTGTTCCACTTTAATAAAGTAAATATATCCACCTTATTAAGAGGATTTGAGATGTGAATCATAAAACCTATTTACCTTATTTAGAAGGTTTGAGAATAATACAACTTTATCCAAATGGTTTTAAAAATATAAGAAATTTTAACCTCACCCTCCCCTAATTGAAATAAACATGTAAAGTTACACTATAAAAACATAGGTCCTCTAGCCTATGATAACCAAAAAAAAAAAATCCCACCTTTGATACCACCCTTTTCCTAACATCTCTACTCCACCCTATCCTGCACACCATGGAATTTTCGAGAGCTAGAGATAAGGTGGTGGTGATATTAGGCCCCACTGCATCTGGGAAATCCCGACTTTCTATCGATATTGCCTCCATATTCCCTTCTGAAATCATCAATTCTGATAAAATTCAAGTCTACAAAGGCCTTGACATTACCTCTAATAAAATATCATTAGAGGAGCAACTTGGTATTCCTCACCATTTATTAGGAAACATCGATTCATCATCGAGTCTTGACGAGATAAGCACTTCTCAATATCGTTCATGGGCTTCGTTGTTGATCTCTGAAATCAATAATCGTGGAAACATTCCTATTGTTGTAGGTGGGTCAAACTCATTTGTCTATTCCCTTTTAGCAAAACAATTTAACCCAAACGTGGACGTATTTTCCAAATCCTCCCAAGGATGTTTTGAGTTAAAGTATGATTGTTGTTTCCTTTGGGTCTATGTTTCACCACCTATATTAAACAAATATATAGATAAGCGAGTCAATGACATGCTTGAAAAAGGGATGCTTAATGAGTTGGCCGAGTTTCACCGATCTGAGAGAATGGGTATGCATCAACCTTATAAAGGGTTGGCGAAGGCAATTGGTGTTCAAGAATTTGAAGAGTATTTTAAAAGGTATGCTAGTGAAATTAATGTGTTAGAGGGTGACGAAGTTCAAAGGCGTATGTATGAGGAAGCTGTGAAAGCTATAAAAGAAAATACATGTGAACTAGCAAGGAGACAGGCGGAAAAGATAAACTTTTTGAAAACAAAAGGTTGGAATATCACTATTTTAGACGGAACTTATTCTCTTCAGGCATTATTGGATGGATCCAAGAGTTGGTTTGACACATGGGAGACCCAAGTTTTGAAACCAAGTGTGGAAATTGTCAAGAGCTTCCTAAAAGCATAAGTCTTAAATTTAAGTTATAAGAATATGAATTGAAAAGGTGTATTAAAGCATGTAATAAGTGCACAACTTTAGTATATAACTTAAGTTGGCTAAAAGGCAATTAAAAATTCGATATTAGTATGTGACAATAATAAACAAAAATCGAAGCATATTCAAATGTTTTGAGCCACCCCATTATAAATTTTTATTGTTCGTATAAAATGAAGTATTTTATTCTGCCACTTTCTTTCCACTTATTGCTTATTCTTTGTAGACACATATATTTGGCTCCGTAATCTGAATAAAAAGTGATGAGATTAGAATTTCACTTCCTTATTAGATTGACGTCTAAACATTACATAGACTCCACAAAGAAAGCCCAAGTGTTAAATATTTCTTGTAAGCCTAAAAATTCAACCAAACCTTGAACGAACATGTGTATTAATTGTAGGGTTTTACATCGATCTAATCGGCATGCGAAAACCAAAACCCGTTCACAGACCCATGAAATAATTCAAACTATTAACACAAACATGTACACTACCACAAAATAGGGAATATAGATTGCCTACAACAACCAATATAGAATGTCTCTAAGGCGCTCCTCTAAGGGGGTGCTTTATAAAGTCTATATCCCACACACTACATAACACCTATCCAAGATAGGCGCTTGTTATTTTAGGTGAAATGTAAATAAAACAAGGGAAAAAAAACCCTGACATCTTAGCGTAGGCGCTCTATATATAACGACATAAAACAGAAAGCCTATCATATATAGGCCCTCCCTATTCCTTAATTTTATTAACAACAACAACAACAACAACAACAACAACAACAACAATAATAATAATAAATAATAAAAAGAATAATAATAATAAATAATGATAATAATGATAATAATGGTAATAATAATAATGATAATAAGGATAATAATAATAATAATAATGATAATAATAATAAGGATAATAAGGATAATAATAATAATAATGATGATGATAATAATAATAATAATAATAATAATAATAATAAATAATAATAATAATAATAATAATAATAATAATAATAATAACAACAACACATTACTAGGGTCCACATTTGACAAAAGTTTTTTATTTATTTACAAAAATGTCTCTAGATAAACGTTTTTTTGTTTATCATGAAGATGAACTTGTATTTTCTCTATTATTATTATTATTATTATTATTATTATTATTATTATTATTATTATTATTATTATTATTATTATTATTATTATTATTACTATTACCACTACCACTACCACTACTACTACTACTAATATTTTCGCATTATTATTATAATCATTAATTATTATTATTATTAAATATTAATTATTATTATTCTTATTCTTATTAAATATTAATTTTATTATTATTGAATATTAATTTTTAATAATATTATTTATTATTATTATTAAATATTAATTTTTGATATTATTATTATTTATAAATATTAATTATTTATTATTATTATTATAATAATAATTCCATATTAATTATTGTTATTATTAAAAATTAATTATTTATTATTATATTATTAAATATTAATTTATTATTATTATTCAACATTAAGTATTATTTTTTAGGAGAGCAGAGTTTAACAGTTTGAAGCAGAGCAGAGCAGAGCAGAGTAGCTCTAAAGAAAGAGGCCTTATAATATCACTACTCTGTTGTATAACTAGATGAGGGACTTTGCATTGATAATTTAGAATTGTATAACTAGGTTAGAACCCATGCGATGTTCGGTTTATATAAAACCTTGTACAAAAAAAATAAGTAATTTAAAATTTTTAGATTTTTATTAAAATTATGATATAGTACAATTTAACATAAACTGATACATATTTCAATATTGGAGGTCATTTATTAGTATGTCATTTAAATTTATTTTAATTTCCTAAGCTAAATTGATAGGTTTTAGTTGTAATATGCGTAGAAGCTTCCAATATTTACATTTTAAATATGTTAAATATAATTGCTCCACAAAAAAAAATGACATCATCTTTGCATTTGAAGCAGGAAAATTTTTATTAAGAGATCGAGTGACATGTAGCATACTACAAAACTTAGAAAAAAGACCCCCAAATGCAGACCCAATTTCTGAACTAACAGGTCTGATTGAAGTAAGAGATCTAATAACAATGATAACAGGTCTCTTATGTGCATTAGGACCCACTATGTTTGGCGGTAAAAAAAAAAATTAAAGAAATAACATACTCGTTGTTAATCTAACGGGTCTGTTACATGCACGAGGGACCACTTCTCTCGTTGGGAAAAGCTAGAGACAAATATAAAGCCATATTTTCCAATGTCTCCCTTACTTTCCTTTATTTATAAAAATAAATTCCTTACTAGTGTTTTCTCCATCACCTTCACTCACCTAGCGTGATACTCCCAGATTCCTCTTCCTCACTTTATAATTCACTTTAACTTTTTTTTTTGGCCGATCGATTTCTTGAGAAATTCGAGTAGTATTATCGCTCTGTTTATCACAAGTTTGAGTCTGAGAAGCAGCAGTTTATGCGGCAGCAGAAGGTGGAAGCTCCGCCGAGGGAGGATGCTGTGGTGGTGGTTGATGAAGTACAGGGGAATCCTTGGAGTAAAAACCCGTCTCTGGAACCGCCAAGAATCGAGAGTAGTCCTCCGAAGAAGCTCTTAATCTTTGATATCATCTATTTCCTCCTTTGATTTTTTTTTTTTTTAAATCAACCAAAAATTATGAAGCCATAACCACCTTCCCTCTAGTGTCGTTGGAAGCAACTTCACGTCTCTTAATGGCCCAATTTGAGTATCTAAATTGCAAGATCTGAAGAGTAATAATACTATGTATGTTAATAGAGTTTATTTTTACATGAATTTTTTTTCTTTTCTTTTTTGCTTGGATTTTGGATTTTAATTATAACTCATTTCCGAATTTAACAGATTCGGGTCAATTTTTATATATTGTTCATTACTTTTAATTTTTTGGTTTTGATTTCTTCTATAGTTTTGAAACTTTTGTTTGATTTAAATGTTGACGTACTTTTAGATCTATTGTTTTCAGTTTTGATCTTCTATATGTATGAATTATTGTCGGATTATTTTCAATTTTGATTTATTCTTAATATTTGTGTTTGTTTGTTAGTTCTTACTATGTATATTTTGATATGATTTTAAATGTTTTTTTTTTTTTGACAGGATGTTTGCTTTGTTACGTTATTGACTATTGCAGTGATTGAATTGGATGAAGATGGTAAATAAAAGTTCGATTGTGAGAAGAAAGATATAGATAGTTATATGTAATCATCTTAAGTTAGTTTTCCGTAACAAAAGAATTGCAAGTTTATCAATTGCAAATATTTGGTATATATATTTGAATGCTATATTTGTTGTACGTTTAAGGAGTGTGATTGTATTGTATAACTTGTTGAAGCAAGTATGTAAGGTTGTATATTCTTGTAAATATCATAACTATAATGGTATGTAGACGTTATTTTATTCAATCTTGAATCGTACTTTTGCAATTTAATTTTATAATTTCAACAATTTTAATGGAGCGCTAAAAACAAAACTTTCAAAATTTAAAATTCAAATGAATATTACAGTTTTTTTTTTTTTAAAAAAAAAAGGGATCAAAAAGACCTGTTACTTAATATAACAGGTCTTTTTGAATCCTCTCAAAGAGACCCCATATTCCAATAAACGGGTCTCTTTCCCTTTCAATATGTCTACCACACACCACATCTAACAGACCCCCTATCTCTAATAACGGGTCTGTTTTTAAAACAGACCCCCATAATGAGGGGGTCTCTTTATCAAACAGACCCTCGAGATAGAGACCCGTTGTAAAGGGGTCTCTAAAGCCAATTTAAATGGGTCTATTAGCCTTTTGTTGTAGTAGTAGGCAGTGGTGATGTCAGCATACTCTATTTTAATAATAGTTAAATAGAGGTCACTAATATTTTCATTTGGATTATAATATTGGAAGTAGCTTAGCTTACCGACTGAAATGTTGCATCATCAATAATATGAGGGTTTAGTTGGGAATTTTCATATGTATATATTCTAACTTTGAGCTATTAATGTCCTTGGATGATGCCTTATTATCAAAATTCTTGTTTAACCTGAGGAGATAACAGATGAAAATAGCAAGAGTGGATTTGTCTGTTGTGAGATAGCTCCAAATATGAAAGTTGAGTTGGACGCATTACTCATATGAATGCTATATATAACAGACTATGTGGCAATGCAAGGTGTTTTGCTTAACGAGAAAATTCCCATCTCCAATGTGCTCAATGCCAGGAAAGGCTTCAATTCCTCTCAAATTTTATTTTTATTAAAGTTTACCTAACATGGTTATAATATGCCCCTTGTATGCATAATTATTATGATGTATTGCTTTGCAATGTGGGGGGTGAGTTGTGTTTGGTTTTAAGAATAACAAGTATATTAGTAAAGTGAGTGTGTTGAGGAAGGGTGAACCTCTTGAAAGTATCTTTATTTGTGACTATTTTGTTAGTTGATTGATTTGTAAAGTTGTAAATTGAATTGATTAGTTCTGTAATATATTTATTCATCGTTCAATGACATGGTTGATTTAATTTGGATTTGTTTATGTGAGTCTTAAAGAACTTTAGGCATTAAACTTTATTCCTAATCTAGTGTGCAATGGATATGATGATTATGTTCTTTGACTAAGTCAATTATTGCAAATCATATGAGTATGAGACTTAAAGAGTTGGTATTTAAAATATATTGAGTTAATCCATGATAAGTTAGTTTATTCATTAAACTTGGAGAGTAGAATTCTAAATGTGTTTTTTATTCTACTTCTTTATATATAAGATAACGAAGCAAGTCTTTTGACCTTGTCTAAAGGAGCTAGGATGGAAACAGTTGGAATTAACATAATGGAATAGTATAAAGGAATAACCCTATTGTATGAATCATTTGTCTTACCTAATTAATATATTGGTTATGTGATAACCTTAAATGCTTGTTGTGTGAGGGTTGTTATCTAAGGTGAGATGTTCAATTCTTTAGTGTGCTTTATAGTTATCTTTTGACACTCTGCGATGTTGTGATTGTTAAATATATTATTAACCTAATAATGTGAGATTTGGGTTGATTATGCTAACTTGGTATGTCATAGCTATTGAATGACTTGTGTTTGACATAGTTTTAGTTGGAGAATGTATGACTTGAAATGTGTTATTCTTCAAATTTATGAGTTCTATGAGACACTTTGAGATTGTCTATCATTTTTGCAATGCTATGATAAGTTATAATCCGATTCATGTAATTTAATCTACTTCATGTTTCTCTTTGACTTTTCTTTTGTGAAGTTGGTGAAAGTATTAACTAGGAAGGAGTAAATTCGAAGTCAAAACTAGTTAAGTCTAATCATTTAGATTAGAAAGGTTGGAGAATTAGAAGAAGTCATGGGGTCTCTTTAAGAAGTGATAGAGTAGTATTTGTAACCATATGGAGAAACCATGTCCTTGTGTTTGTACTAGTTTTGGAGATGTAGACACCTGATTATGTCCCCCAAAAAACCAAAATCAGTGATGAGTACCTTTCACGTCATTGATTATCGAGTAAGGTGAAATGTTGAAGAATCTCATGGATTTCCCTTCTTCTAAATTTTTTTAAATTAAAATAATTCATTTCATATTTCAAAAATCATTCATTTCATATCCTGTTTATGAAAAAAAGTCTAATCCAATTTAGTTTGGTCTATAATCTGGGTCCAATTATTAAGTAGTTGGATAGGGTTTGAAAAGAGCTTTCCAACGATATATTATAAGTCCAAATCTGAGTTATAACGAGGAGGTTATGATCAAAATACTAAATTGGGCCCAATATGAGCTTTATATGCGGACCCAATGATCATGTGGAGGTTCCATTAATTTTAATTATATTTCTAAAACCATTAGGATTTGTCTTAATTTTCTAGAATTATCTAGAAAATTACTTTAAGTTCTAAAGGCATTAGGATTAATTATTTATCTTATTATGAAAAGATAAATTATTAAGAATTCTACATCGGATAAAACAAGTGTTTTTCAAGGATTTAAATCTGATTTAATAAAGATAAGTACGAACTTCGGCTAACCCAATTTGATTGGGAGTCGGATTCCGTATGGAATTTATCGTGCTGAGACAGCCTTATTGCGGTGCGATAAAGCCATCGCGGCGCGATAAAACCTGTTTTACTCTGAGTCAGATTTTGACTCGTTTATGATCTTTTTCGGTTGTTTTCTCTATAAATAGGGTCGATTTTCCTCATTTTCAACTCACCCACAATCATCAATCTTCTCTCTCTCTCTCTCTCTCTCTCTCTCTCAAAGCTTATTCTCTCTCTTAATTTTCTAAACACCTTTTTACACACATACACTATACGTCTTTCGCGAGACTCGAATCCACATAACCTAGCTCGAAGTTGAAGACCTCGACGTGAAAGGTTGATAGTTCTGAGGGATTGGTCCCAAATCTATATTTTAATTAATACTACCTCCGGTCTGAGATATAAAATATTCCAAATTTGCGAGTAATTTGGACCGCAGGTAGTATTATTTTAATTGTTTGATTTAATATTTTATTGAAGTTACTAACGTTTGTATCCTTTTGATAGAAAGAGGTATGAGGCTTCAAAGTAAGTAATTTAATTACTTAATTATTCTTTTGATATAGAAGTCATGTTTAGAATATTATATTGATTCCTAGTATCATGTTAGGATGTTTTATTAATTCCTAGGTTGCTACTTTTCTCGTCTTTGAAAAATGTTAAAAAAAAAATCAGACTATATATGTTAGGATGCTTCTATTGAATCTTGGTACCATGTTAGGGATAAAGCTTTTATCTTTTTTATTTAGTGACATGCTAGGATTTGTTATTAATCATGTTAGTATCATGTCTAGGATCTTGCTAATAATAATATTATTATGCTTTGATGGGAATATTATTTTGATGATGATGATTTGTGGTATCAATATTGTTATGTTGCTTGATTTATTATTGTTATTGCCTGATCACGCCCTCTCTTGCAGGTTTAAAGGGAATTTGTACATGAAATTAGGCTTAATAAGATAATTAACAAATTTATTTTAGGCTAATATGATTTTAATTCAAGTGATCGTCAATAATAGATTTATTTGTGCATTAATAATTAACCAATATAAATTAAACAGGTTTAGGATTAATTTATTGATTGTATATTGATCGAAAAGAGCACGTGAATATGAGAAGAACAAAGTAGAGGCCTATTTAGGACAGGTTCAATCTCATATAGGTTAGATTCGTACCATCATGCGCGAATATCCAGTCATGGTTCAGGACCACTATGGATTTAGCGATCTATATGTGATAGTGAATGGGGTGTAACCTTCACCCCGTGGATGGTTTACAAGTTCTTAAAACTTGTTGGAGACTCTTTTGCTCTAGTTTCATTCCCTTTAGACGCCAGCATGCTTAAATGCGTGATCACAGTGGGGCTCAAAGTTGAGGGTTTGAAATATTCCCTACAAGAGATAAGCAAGTAAATTTAAGTCCTTATTTGTGACCTACCATATTTGTAAAAGTTAGTTTTCTCTAACCATAACAAAGTCATTTGCTGTAATGTTGACTTTCACGCACCAGTTGAAACTTGAAAGTAAAGAAAATTGATATGGCAGATTAATTGAAGGTTAGTGATTGACTATCTCTATTATTTCTCATAATTAACTAAGTTTGTATTTTGTCTTGTTTACGTTATTATCCTTTGTGGTTTTGGTATGGTTCAAATAAAGGTTAAATTGCAAACTGATATGACATCTTAGTTATGAATTGATGAAGTAAAGGAACTTTCTCCATGTGAGCATCCTTGTAAGGAATAATACAAGGTAAACAACTTTACGATATAAATTGAATTAAACACTAAAGTTATGGTGTGAGAAGTCATTACATGATTATTCTCGTGATCTGTTAGTTTGACTATGATTGTTAATCATTAGCTTCTAACTTAATATTTCTTACGTAATGAAAATATTATTAAAGTGCAGTTAGAGACTATATTGTAAAAGTGCTCGCCAATGATCACTGTATGGTATCATGTAATAAGAATTAAACGTGCAGGTTTAAATTGTTTATGAGATAACCAACAACAATGAGTTCACTATGAAATTTTGGCTTAAAGCGTTATGCAATCTTATTGCAAAATCTAATAGTATGTATCCATTGTGGGGGGAGCCAACTCTATTTGTTACATGAGTAACTTTTGTATATATCTAGTGTATAGTAATTTACCGTACATTGGGGTTCACTTTTATCAAATTAGGGTCACTTTGTCAATTTTTTGGGTAACTTTTATTAATAAAGCATAAATATTTCGTAACTTTTGCTCATTTTATGATAACTTTTTCTTATTTTAAGGTAACTTTGGCTTATTTTAAAGTAACTTTTGCTCATTTTAGGGTAATTTTATAACAGATGTACAATATTTTTATTTAGGGGTGAAAGTAATTT